GTCCAATACTCCTGCTTGCAATTCATTTATTGAACTCCTATCTTTCCCACATCACAAGCACTCGGGAGTCTCATAAAGCATGACAGAACAATTATAGTCACCATGCACACATGTAATCATTGTTAATTGTGGCACTTATGAAAGTTTATTGCTTGGCAAGTAGGCACATATTTGCTACTTAACAGAGACTTAGTGAAAAGGAGCAAAGCTGTAAACCCATCAGTGCTACACTGCTGGCCTGATGGAATCGAAATCTATTTATTTATTTATTTATAAATACTGCAATCCCTGATAGGGATTCTAGCAGGTGGGGTACAGTGCATAAAAAGGATACATGGTTTACCACAACTGTACAATTCAACACAGATGAAATGGCTCTTCTTCTCGGGTACAAAAAGTTGTTACAAATAATACACACAAAAAAATTAAAAAAAAAACAAGAACACAGGATTGGTATACAATGCTAATTAAGGTGGGACTCAAACAAACTTAGAGAAGGCTGTAGAACTTGTGAATTCTGAAGTTTATTCCAATCGGAAATAGTTCTGGGAAAGAAGAAAAGAGCGCTCACAATACTTATAACAGTTAGTACGTGTGCGATGGGGGGTGACTGTTAGTTGGTGTCTTTGTCTGGTCGCATACCCAGCTGAAAATGAAATCACATCTGAAAAATCTATTTTATAATGCCCCTTGATTATTTGATAAAAACACTTCAGTCGCGATAAAAGATTCCTGTGTGCTAACGACGGTAAGTCGCCTCGTCGTAGAAGTTCGGTAACTGAAGTGCGCCCAAATTTGTTAAATATGTAGCGCGCAGCCTTCTTTTGTACGTTTTCCAGCCTGCTGATGTTTGTCTTTGTGTATGGATCCCAGATAACGACGCAATATTCTAATGCTGGTCGAACTACTGATTTGTACGCAAGTAAACGAACATTAAGAGTGGAAAGTTTTAGCGCTCATCTAAGAAAGAAAAGCTTTCTATTCGCGGCAGCAATCACAAAATCAATGTGCTTATTCCAATTAAGATTATTAGTTATCCATAAACCGAGGTACTTATATTGAGTTACTTCTCTCAGAGTGATTGCGTTCACAGAGTAATTAAAGACAAAAGGATTCTTTTTCTGGGTAATTCTCATGACTACAGTTTTATCGAAGTTTACAGCCATCTGCCATTGGTCACACCACGTGATAACTTTTTGAAGGGCATCGTTTAGAAGAAATTGATCTGACATGCTGCTTATTTCAGAGTAATTGTCAACTATATCACTAATATATACCAGAAAGAGGATGGGACCAAGCACCGAACCCTGGGGAACGCCAGAGCTAACCGTTAGCCTACAGGAGCTGCTGTTTTTAAAATTAACAAACTGTTCCCGGTCTGATAGGTATGCCAAGATCCATTTAAGTAACTGGTTGTTCCTGAAAATTTTGTCTAGTTTGAAAAGTAATTTTTGGTGTGAAACTTTATCAGAGGCTTTGGAGAAATCCATGAAAATGGCGTGGTGGCTACGTTTTAATGGAGACAAAAAGCTGGAGGCCCAAATACTAGATTTAAGTGCACGTTAAAGAGCCCCACGAGGTAAAAATTTTTGAAACTCTCCGCTACAGTCTCTCTCTAACCACATTCAAGCGATATCATAAAAGAGCTCGTTTCGCGAAAATTCCGGTGGTGGCATCGTCAGTTGAGAGCGAGAAATCAACATTGTCCATGAGTCAAAATTTGAGATAGATGCAAATGAATATAATAAAAATAATCGGTTCAAGTGAGAATTGAACCCAGGACTCCTGCAGGGCATACAAATCTTCTGCTACAGAGCCATGTCCATGCTCAAAATTGTTTAGGAAAGAAAAAAAAATATACTATATGAGTTCAGTAGGGTTGAGAGGTGGGCTAGTTGGTAAGACATCATTTAACCATATGGTGTAGTAGCGCAAATTCACGGGGACAAAAAGGACAAGAAAACACGACACTCGCTACCGTGTCGTGTTTCGTGTCGTGTTTTCTTGTCCTTTTTGTCCCCGTGAATTTGCGCTACTACACCATATGGTTAAATGATACTATATGAGTATAATGTAGTGTCACAGGTGTCTTTAGTGCATGTAATTACATGCAACAGAAGTGCATTATCGCACCAGGCGCCAAAACACCTGAATTTATTTCAAAATGAGTGAGTGCTTTAAGGGCCCACCCGTAACTGAGTGCTCATAACTAATTGTGATCAAAGTGAGCAGTTGCATAGGTTCGTGTGTCACCCTAACGAACGTGTAGTGGGTAACTCACAAATTCCCAAACAGAAGAGTTATGCCACAGTGGACACCTTGCAACTATACTTAGAGTAAGCATTCAATAGTTTTGAAGGGCCAATGCAACTTGGAAAGACACTCTTTTCTTTGTGGCATGGTTGACGTGTCCATCAAGAAGCGAAGACGGGCTAGCGATGGTGGTAGACTACGCACGAGGCCCCATTACACTATCACGCTTTGATCTTGAGCAGAAGCTCAAGCACTTTCCAAGTTTTGGGCTTTTGGCATGTAACACGCCAATAATTATTATCATAGTAAATCCAGCACTCACCCTTAACAACTGGTGTGTGCACCTCATGTGCTAGTTCAGAACTGTTTATTTACGTGCAGCACTTAAGACAGAAACAGCGAACCTGGAATGTTGTGAGGCAGTTTTTAGCCACCGTGACGAATTTCAGCGAAACTGCTGCCCGTCAATCTTGCACCACGCAAGCCACCGTAAATGCAACTACTGCATTTACGGCTAGCACCAGAGCTCCATGTAGTAAGGTTAACAGAAAACTTCATATAAAAAAAAGTGACAGCGCCAACACGCAGGCAGGCGTCACTCTTTTTCAGCAGTTACATACTATGTTAACCAAAACGACATTGTACTACCCAAAGATTCCTCTCTCGTGGTGCCGACAGGCATCTTTATTCTACAGGATATAGAACAGTATAGGTTTGCACTTGACAGCTGCTGACAAATTTTCTGTTGTATTCGAAGTAAACACATTTCTGTTTGATGGAGCAGATGGCCCTAATTTCCTTTCACATTTCCCAGACACAGACAAATGCTTAAGTACATTATAAACTCCTTTACACAAAAGAACAAAACAGATCGTGACATCAGGAGAGATTCTATATGAACACTTCCTATTCTGTGCATTAGCACAGAGCTGAAATGTGTTACATGTCTCTGTTGTCATATCCAACAACCTTGGCACACACGCTAATTCTTCAGTTTTTTTTTTTTCTCATGCGAGTTGGCAAGCGCTCTACAGAGCTAAGTGGCAGCCGAAGTAAAATCACACGTACAGCATTGCAAAGATTGTAACAGAAGAACAATTCTTGGCATTCAAGGTGTTTAAGCAACCCTCAGTCTAAAATTTTGTTCGTTATGCTCTTCAGGACAGTGAACCGGGCAGGTATTGCTGCACAAATCTTAAAAAACAGATGCAGCCTCAGACCCAGCAAAAAATTGACAACAGCTTATCATGACTATTTCGAGATGAGCACAGCTTGTCTGCTCTGCCTTGCCATTTTTAGTATGGCATGAATGTAGGTGGTCGTCCTGCAAGCTCCACAAGATACCACCTGCCTTCCACCACCAACCGAATATGCTCAGCATAAGCAGAATAACTGAGAAGGAATTTACCACACGGAGACACGCCCTCCCAGCATGAACACTAGCCTTCACACTCTTAAACTACACACAAACTTTCGTTGGCATTTACATGCCAACGCACTGCCCACGCGTTTCAAATTGCCTGTCCACATGCTCGCACTACTACTTTTTCTGCCTCTTTTTTCCCCCGTGTAGCAGTGGACTGGAATGGCCTTCCCTGTGACGTTCCAGCCATCACGTGTCCAGCAACATTTAAAGAGGTCACCACGCACATTTCCATTTGAAAACCTGTGTGCATTTACCTGTAACCCACCCCTTATGTAATACCCCCTACATGGGGGTCTTTAAGGTATTAAAGTGATGTGATGTGATACCTTTTTTTTATCTTCACTAGGTGGCAACTAAGACTGATCAAGGAGTGCCATCATTGTGTCAGATCTTCCGTTAAAATGCGGACATGAGATTTCAACATTTAGCCAATACCAGCAAAATATGGCTGAAATCAGCATTCGCTTCTCCACATTGTCCTTGTCTCCTCAAGGACAATTATCCTTGCTGTTATAACCAGCAATGCAAAGACACTGCCTGAAGGGGACGCTCACTGCCACTACTTTCATAGCAGTCCAAGCACGCACTTTTTGGCAAGAGTTTTTGCAGGACGCTGACTGTGTATAGCAACAACGCCAATGCGCGCTCCCTGCAGCTCACGAGAACACCTCGGCGTAAAAGAGCCACAGAAGCTAAATGTTTTTTTTGAACCTGCAGAATGCAGCCTACTCTTTTGCTCAAACACTTGAGCTCTTGAATCTATCACTCGTCAAAACACCTGCCGCCTTTTTAAACAATGACCATCTGCATAGCACTATTTATTGTTTTTTCAGTGAGGCCTGAAAAGGTGAAGCTATGTTAATGCATTGGAGACTTTAGTTAGTCACAATTTCAATATACGTAAGGTCAACTTTACATAGACCATTTTTAGACACATTTACAGCCACGTCACATCTACAGCTCACTATTCAAGTTTTCTTCAACAGGTATTCACCATAGTCTTGATAAGGTCATATCTGGCCCTTGAGCCAGCACATGCTGAATATTATTGCTATCAGCAAAGCAAATAAACTATAAGTGCTATCAACAGGGCGAGAGCATGCAGCCCCTGCGACTTTGCTACAAAAACAGCACAGCAACAGTTTTGCATCAAACATGCTATTCCTCGAATTTAGCTATAAAGGCTTTGTTTCAGCGAGCATTTGTCGAAGGGCCAATTTTTGTATACGGCTCAAATGGCTCGGTTTCCAAATCACTGATGCAATAATCAATAAATGCTGGTGTAGGCTATCACTTTCTCCCATCTCATGCACAACAAAGATTGACATAAAAATGGCCAATATTTTATTGATTGGACGTCAATTTGAGAGCAGTTAGAACAAGGTGACTGGACATTGGATTGTCTTGGTAGATGATGGCAAGTATGTAATTTAGACTCTTACAACTGGTGCTGGCTACCAGAAAATTCATTACCACCGCATCTTTTAAATAAAAGTTTTAAAATGCTCATGCACAAAAGCAGATTAATTTATAAATCTTTCGTTATTAATCATTGTAGCTTTCCTCGTTAGCACTGTAAGCACAAGACACAAACGGCTAGCATGGAATACTATTCTATTTATTGTACTTCCTGCATGAAAAGCACTTCGAATTCTCAAACAATCGCTGCCTCGACTCAATCTCTTCATTGAAACTCTTCAATGAAGAGTTTCAATGAAGAGTTCCACCAAAGAGCGGAGACGTATAAATAAACTTTCTTGTTGCATGCAAGAAATCCGAGGCGTTTAACACTAAAAAAGCTCGTCAATTATCATCCTTCTAAAAACAGTGAAAGAGATTATAAACTTGCTTGGTAGGTGCAAACAACCTCAAGCAATAGTGAACAAATGCACGTATATAGTGTACCTGAAGGAAGAAATCAAAAATGGAAGCTGGGATGACTAACTAGTTAAAGTTCGACAGATCAAACCAAGGACAAAAGTTAAAGAAAGGAACAAATGCTGGAAAAAAAACGTGCACCAATGTTGCAGACTTGAAAGCAAAACTTGTCATGGAAGCTTTAAATACGATCACTTCCATCACAGGCTCAACAGTCGGTTGGCTATGCAAGTGTCACTGTTAATGCGATGAGCTGCAGCTTCTAATTTACATTCTGGGAGAGATTAGGCTATAAGAGCACGTCACAGCATGCGCTAGCTTACGAATTTAGACTCTTATAACTGATGCTGGCTACCAGCGAATTCATTGCCACTGTATCTTTCAAATAAAAGTTTTACTGTGCGCATGTACAAAAGCAGATTAATTTATGAAACTTTTCATTATTAATCATTGTGTCTTTAATGCTCTTTACCTCGTTCTTCACATATTATATGCTTGCTTGTCAAGCTACAAATGTACAAGCATGATCTGCATGGTGTACAGAGGAACTAGAAAGCTGCCAGGGCTTTCTAAGGGTTCTGGCATTAATGCACCGGTTCAACGTGGCTGACTAATATCCAGCACATCGTACCTCGTGTTAATGGCACTATGAGGCTTGTAGAACAGGCTTTTGTAGCAAACAATACTTGCACATGCCTGTCAATAAGTGACCGGCAGCGAGCACAACAATAAATTACATTCGCTGTATGACACCACCACTTTCCATGCCTTGTGGCAGGAAAGTGGGTGAATGCAGTTCGTCAAGCGTCATCAAGTTCAGACACTGAGAAGCGACGCTCCATTGTCGGTGCTGGTCCCGCCCCCGTCTTGAAGTTGGCTGACCATGTTCTCGAGTTCTTTTACACTCATCACCGACTGTTCAAACTTGTGCGTAACCAGCTGTCGGTAGAAGTGCACAGCAAAGATGACAAACACTATGGCGACGGGTATGAGGATGATGGTGGCCGCAAGGGCCGCCTGTCGGCTGTAGTCGTGGAAGACGACCCAGGAGAGAATAGCGATCTCTGCCATGAAGAGCAAGATACCAAAGACTGTGGAGAATGCCCAGGCAGTCTCGATGTAGAGGTGCATCTTCTCGTGGGGTGACTCTGAGACAGGCGGCGATACCGTGCACACTGGCCACGGCCTCCAAGTTTGGCAAGATGCAGGTCGAGATCATGAGTGCCAGCATGTGCACCGAGACAAGCAGTGTGGTGCACACGCTGAATGCAATCAGCAGCTGTGGCGGGATTGACTTGCTCAGCTGGATCTCTACCAGGGCCACCTGGGGACAAAAGGTGGAATTAGAAGGGACAGCTGCAATTCTGTGCCATATGTTTCTTTCTTTCTGTTGCAAGGCGATTCCCAAATTTAAGTGTAACAGTGCACTACAACAAAACAACCAGACTGAATAGTGAAGAACGCACACACAGACAACACAGTGTGTGCCATTCTTTGCCTTTCGGACTTGCTGCTTTGTTGTGGTGTTCTGTTACACCGAAGTATGAACCGATACCCACTCACCCTGGTTGCTGTTTCATTGCAATTCATGAAATTTCGGTATTAGACAGTCTTAGCATGTCATTACATACACATAGTGTAACAATATGTGCTGAGCATGTTATGGATGGCTGGAAACGTGGATAGCAGTATCTAATATTATTAAACACTATTCTGCAGTGCAAAATATTTTCAGAAATGATGTAATGCTCATCCAGGGATGAACATTACTCTTTCATTTTAATTGCTTTGGCATGGCCAACAAATTAGGATGTCGACATAAATACAAGAAATGGTAAACTTGTTTTGTGCCAATTGTACAAGTGACCTAGTCTGCACAAAAAAAGCATCAAGAAAAACTGTCAATAAATTTACACTCGATGTTGCCTTCAATCGAATTCAGTTGCATCATTGCACTATGAGAGCATCAAGTAATGACGGAAATAAATTGCTTTCTCCTGCATTTAACTCCCAGGTAAGTGGATTTACCATTTTCACTACCGCTAAAGGAAATCACGCAGCTTTGCAAGAGAAACATAACAGGAACATAGTCATCATGGATATAATTTACACTTCTTTAAGGCTGATCACAGCATCTTTATTCTGCCACACAGTGCGAAACAAATCACTGATCGAAAACGGTGAGATCACGAATCAATGTAGTGTAGAAAGAGGAAGTAGCGCGTAATCAGTGGTGACCGCACAAAAGTTTCGCACCGCTACGACCATACTGCTAACTACACCAAGGCAGCCAAAGTTGCTGTACTTGTTACATTTACGAGCAACATTCACACACGTAGTAGACGCAACGCTATGTGCAACGTTCATACACACACTTTCGCGACTTCAAAGCGGTCTGTAACTGTGATCGTGCACGTATCGTTTGCAGAATCGCGTGGCGACTGCCGCATGGCTAGCAGTGTGTTATTTGTACTTTAAGCATCTATGTGCTTATTTACGCTCGTCGCGCGGGACGTATATGCTTGGGCACATACTCACGTTTTTCACCTATTGCGCATTGCACGCACAGATAAACACACGCTCTCTCAACGAAGCGGCGGAAGCCTGTAAGAGCGATTAAGCGAAAGTGCTAGCGCGGGGAATTCCCCAAGCGATTGTTTACGCGGACGTTTGACCTGTGTTTTCGGGCAGATGATTTACTTCGAACGAAAGTTACACGAGATCTTTCTCTCGGTTGAAACAGTACGCCCTTAAGAACCGCCACTACATGTGAAACTACCCGAATACGCGAAAAGTTGGCTCGCATCGTTAGACCGGCTTTGACAAACGGTGCGTAACTTGGTACCAACCATGGCAAATCCAGAGAGAAGAGCCGACGTCCTGCTGGAAGCCTTGAGCTTTGCCCTGCTGAGATGCAGCCTCCGCCAGGACAGAGCGTTGATGTTGTTCTCCGGCTTGCTCATTTCTTTCACCAACGATTGAATGACCAGTTCCTGTACGATATTGGGGCGGTCTCCGATAGAGTCAGTCCATAAAATCTCGGCTCCGGGAGGGATATTCATGGGGGCAAGAGAGAAGCGTTACACACACGCACGGAAACACAGACACTTCAGCTCGGAAAGCCAGATCTTAGTAGAACCGACACGCAATCACACACGGCGCACGACTACTGCACCCGCATCACACTTGTTTACTTCGCACGCAAGATAGGCAACATTACACCTATGTTGACACGCGCACAAACCGAGATACCCAGTCTCACATGACGAGGATTATCGACTACGCCTCTACCTGTGACATGCCCCAGGAGCACGGTTGACGCAGTAATTTAAGCGCGAGCGTATTAATTGCGAGATCCCCCTAGAACCCCTGCGAGGAAATTATCGATTAGCGTGCACCTATCCTTACACTTGCTCAGTGCACGCGGCGCGTCAGTGTGAATGGCCGTATTTTGTCTCATTGCAGTGCTTACTTCTCTCCAAACTCAACCTGGATCTCGAATCGGTAGAAAAGGTCCGCTCCTGCGCTCTTCCAGAGTGCGATAATGACTGTTCGCGGTTCAGTGACTACCGAGCAGAACTTAAGCGGAAGTATGTGTATACGGCACGCAACAAGGCAACCAAACAGCAGGCAGGGAGAGGTCACGTGACCTAGGGAAGAAGGCGTGAGCGAGCGAGTGGGGGATCTGTCGTCATGAGGCCCACACTCGCGGTCACGCACGCAGCCCAACAATACACTCGGTGAAAAATTTGCAAGGCGCGTCAGGTGCAATCGGCGAAAAACTTTCATTCGTGTTTGGCAAGCTTCTCGAGCCGTCATACATTGCGTCAAGCCATGGAGGAGGAACCCGAGGAAAGGCGAAAGCTGGTGAGTGCAGCAGCGTCCCTCTCCGTGGGCAATCTCTCGCCCTTGTCGATGCATCGAAAGTGATGGTTGTTGAGCTTTGCAGCCATTTTGTCGAGTTTTTTTTACGCGCCCGAATAGAGTTAGCAAGCGCGCACACCTCCACGGTGTTTGCCGCTTCCTTTGGTCGACACGGAAGCGCTGGGAGAACGTAGCGGCTCGAGCCTTTCTTGTTTCTGCTCGGCCGTCTTTGTCTGCTGCGCCGGAGAGAAAAAAATTCTTGCCCAGACGCGTTTAGCGCGCATAGTGCACGAGCTGAAAAGTTTCCCGATCGCGCTTCGCTTATGTGCCCGAGTTTGTTGTGATACTGCGCGGTTATTGCACAATGATACTCTTCGGCACTTGCTCCTTCGAGAGCGTGCAACGTTTTGTCGTAGCGGTGATGCAAATCTTGATAAGATTTCGTGCGGGTCTTCTGCACGGTTTTAGAGTTCCAGCCGCGGGTCTCGAACGCTGTTCTTAAATTGCCATCTTTAGCAGTGCAATGCCAAATTAGAGACAAATGTTTGAACATATTGGTGCTCTTATTTTCTGTTCCTCTCTTATTGTGTGACCATTAGGTTGTGCTGCTATGTTGTAGCTGCATGAAACGGAAACTTCTTGGGTCATGTTAAGGCGCGATTTATGCCCACTGACCCCACGTGAAACGCAACACGTGCCGACAACTGTAATCAGAACCGTGGCCGGTTTGTTAGCGAGTAGGGCCTACTATTCGCGATTTGTGACAGTTCGGTCCAGCTATCGGTTGTTAGTTTGAACAGCCGAATTTTCGTCTAGTTCGAAATGGCTTTTATCTCAAATCCGTTTAGTCCTAGGAATGTTTTGGTGGCTTACACCTGCTGCTGGTGAAAACTTTCCGCACTGTCAACGTCTATTACGTGGCTACATCGCGTTTTTACGTTGAGACACACGTGCAATCGTGTTAATTGCATGCTACACACCACTTGTTGCTGCCAACACGTGTTGACGCGGTTTTCTGTGGTCGCGTGCGCGCGCGGCTGCGTTCTTGTTTTTCAAGTTTCCCGCGGTCCTTTATATTTATCGCGTCGTGACAGCAGCAGCGTGTGGACAGCTCAGACCGCCGCAACGCTTGGCGGCGTTCTTTAATGAAATGCGTTGTTTCCCCACAAGTTGCCCCCCCCCCCTTTTTTTTTTTTGTCTTGCACAGTTTTGTGCTCGCATGCCACCTCTGTAGCGACAAAGTTCGTCCGTAGAAAACAAAACACACACGAAAGAACCATGCTCGAACGGGACTACCCGGTAGTACAATGCACGCGGACACTCTGACGCATTTAGGGGTCAGTCAGAATGTTTGGCATCTCTTTTGAGTCGAAGGCGGCAGCGGGGGCGTAGATTCTTCGGAGCTGTGGACTCTTTTTATTTTTGTATGGAAGACTCTTTCTAGGGCCAAGGTCGTAAACGAATGCGCGCCCTTACTTCGGTTGGTGCTCTTTCATCTTGAACCGAAGGCGGCCAGAGCGCTTTCGCGTGTCTCTCCCCCGTGCTTTGCTTGCTTTGGACCTGCCTCGGAGGATATACAATGCCTCCGTCTAGGCTGGGTCGGACTAGAAAGAGGCATTTATGAGAATTTCATTCGGCCAGGTGGCGTTGTGATCGGCCGTCTTAACGCTGGAAACAGTAGCAGCAAAAAAAAAAAAAAAAGAAAAAAAGAACCGTGCCGGCGCCTGGAGCAAATTTTGCTTTTTCAAGTGTAGTGAAATGCGCTTTTTATAAACAGGCAGGCGTACACAATTGTACACTTTTCTAAAAGCACGACTTGCTTCTTGTAGGCTGTAGCTGAAATTTCGGTTTTGTTCCAGAGATTTCCGTCTGCAGAATGTCTTCCATCCTGTCTCGACGACATTTCCGACATTACTCTAGGAGAATCGTGCTAATTACTGATACACTGTGACAGATGGCACTGAGTGCCTGCGCAAATTGAGCAAGTAAAGCTAAGTAATGTTAATAAAACGTTACAAATGCGGGTTCTTTGTGAAACGTTCTCCAAGAACCTTCCATAAAGAACCCTGTGCTCCCAAAGCTTACACACGCACACACACATTAATATATATATAATAAGTTTAAACTAGCGGTGAGGGGTTTTGCAATGGCCATGTTTAGTGTAGCTGCCGGAGTTTTGTAGGGAAGAAGTGTTTTTTTTTAAGGGCTTGTTTTTTCTGTTAGAGGCAATATTAACGAGCATTAATGGAAAGCTATGCCAAGGAAAGTATATGGGATGTTATTTGTAGCAGTCAAGATAAAATGTGAAAAAAGTAAAGTGGACGAAAGGACCGAGCCGCCTGCAAACATCCGAATTTTCCGGTTTAGTCCCTGGCGGCGGCAAGTATTTGCTCTTTATATCGTAGGTAATTACTACAAATCATACAGCCCCTACGCTTTCTTTGACATAAAGGTCCGTTAGTTCTCGTCAATACTGTGTCTATTATCGGAGTTCCGTAAACAACAGGTGTATCGACCCGCCGCAACCATCCTGACAATCCCGATTGTTACCCTGAACCTGCCAAGCCAATATGTGACAACGACTAGAACGTTTGATGCGCCCGCTGCCAGATTTCATGCTGTTGTCCAATATATTGACATTTCCCACGCAAGAGTCGCTGTTACGACATCTGAAAGCTTTATTATTCTTCCCTTCGCAAAATGTCGCGAGTCTCCGCTTCTTGAATCGCGCCCCGCCCTTTGTAAAACTTTCTCGCGTAATGCGAAACTGAATGCGTTTGGTTTCGCATTACGCTGATAGTTCGATCTTCTTTTGCACTGGCTCTCTTCAGAACCCTGTCAGATAAGTAGCGAAGTCGTATTTTTGTTAGCCTCTTCTCTTGGCAAAGAAAGCTTGTGCCATAATGTAGCCTTTGATCATGTGACAATCTTTCTTCGCTACAGATCGCGCGAGAAATGCAGTGACAAAACTAGTCTCGGGTTTCGACAAAGGCCTGCTTATTGAAAAATTATGCTAAAATTCAACACCACTTGGCGTGCACTCTTTTTAGACGACTTTAATCGTGTCCGCGCATATTTTGCTTGTTTGATTAGCGTACAACAGGCATATGTGCAAAATCCTACGGGTTGCTTACCTGTTGTAGAAGAAAAACGACCATGTGTTGTCAGTATCGGTTTGTGTTTGCCACCGCGAAATGGGCAATTTGAAACCTCACGACGCGTAGGTTTTTACACTTATGCATCGCGACACATTGGCAGCAGCCTCCTAGGTTAAGTGATCGGGAATTTTTACTAGCCGTGTCGAAACTTGCGTGTTGCGTTTTCGACTTTTCGCGTCATGAGGGATGTCCGGAACGCGTATTAACGTATCGTCATAGACCCTGGTATTACCGTTAAAAGCGAGCTCTCATTTTTTTTTTACTTTTTACTTCTATTTGTTTACTCGTTTACGATTGTAGAAATGCTGTAACGGGTCTAGCGCAATTAGGTATCCGGGAATTCTCGTTTTTCTCCAAACTCGGCGGGATTAGCCATTCGTCTGCGGCGAGTAGTTTGGTGCTCTTTCTCCAGGTGGCAGCACGGGTGCTGACCGCATTTTTGTCTCTATTTGTTCTCTCGTTTTTTTTCCCCGCCAATCAAAACATCGAGCCCGTCACGGACTATGATGGCGGACACCGACGTGAATGCCGAGAAAGATCCTTCGGGATCGACGTCGCTCTCGTCGAAGGTACTTTAGTTGCTCATAACCCCGCAATACACGACCCGAAATCGCCACCGCCTGCCTTGATAACCGTGCTCGCTCGACAATTTGTGGTCGAATACGTGACGCTATCGGCAGTGATGTACGTTGAGGCAGGCTTCCCAGCCACCCAGTTCGCGGCTACGCTGCTGTGTTTTCCTTTATTGAATTGCTGTTTAGCCAGGTGCTATGTCGTCGCTTTGAACTTTAGCCCCGCCGCCTTGCCTGTTGCTTGACGCGAGCCGATCTGCGAGCAAGCGTCGTTTCCCGATTCGTCGCTGGGGGCAACGTGCTCGCTGGGTTCCCCTTCTCGAGCGGTAATATGCCAGCTGTTTCAGCTTTTCAACCGAGCCGTCAGTGCACTATATAGGCCTGGCTAGCTAGCTCTCGATTCCTGCAGCGTTCTCGTAACGTTTCCCCCTCGATTGTTTTCGCAGCCAGCTGTGTATAGAGGAAAAACTTGTCGTCTTTTAGTGAAAAGAAACACAAAAAAAAAAGGCTTTCGCTGCTCGTTCTGGCGGTAGCTTTTTAACATTGTCGGCTGTTTGGTGTGAAAGAAAGTCGATGCCCGCCTCGCGCTTTTGTTGTGTTCCGCTCGTGTTTATACCTGCGTAGACGCGAACTTCTCGACACTTGGGTTTGTAGTACGTATTGGGGAGGTTTGCAATGGCTTCCGCTTCGCTTTAATTTGCCGGCCCTTCCTCTCTCGCGTAATGTGCTTTCTTTCTTTTTTTTTCCTTTCATTCCTCGACTGCGCATCGTAGCGGGTGAAGGAGCGACGGCACTACACCGAAGACTGCCTGCAGGACGACGAGATCGAAGGCCGCAGAATGTTCACCGTGGAGGATAAAGTGACCAGTCCGGCATTTAACTACTCGTTCGCCAAAGAGATGAAGGGCGAAGGTGAGTCGATTGCTGCGTTGTCGTGAATGCGAATTGCGGCTATAAACTGGCAAAGTTTAGCCAAGACGTTACCTTTACGTTCTTTCTGCGTTGTGATCGACTACAGTGCGGAACACGACGTGTGTAATCTCGCGCGGCATGTCTTGGTAGCCATATATGCATGGTAGCATGTTTCAGTGGGCGTGGTGTGTACTTACACTCGCTGTGATGGGGCGCCGTGCGCGTACGTCTACAATCGTGAGCCTTTGATGGGGACGCGAAATTTCTGTTTATGCAGGAAGCAGTCGAATGCTGATGCTGAGAATGTGTTTTATTATTCTGGCGTTTTACGGCGTCGTACATTATCTACTTAGCTTCTCGCTAATCGTCTAGCTTCTGCATTGACGTGTCGAAGTTGTAATGAAGTGATTTCCCGATAGTTTATAATTTTGAATTGCATTGTTGAGTTCATGGTCTGTGAAGTCTACAGGTTTAACTGGCACGCAACTGGTGTACTACGTTGCGTTACAAAAAATGTTTTCAAGCATTTGTGTAACCAGCAATTGAGCTCCATTGCTTTTAGTGGAAATAACTGCTTTACACATGTTTGTAAACGTTTACCTTATGTTGTTTTGTCCAGACTTCACTCTGAAGTATCTACAAGAACATGGCTTTGAGCACCCCCTGCTGTTCAAGAGCAAAGCAAACATGGGAATGAGGCAAGTGGTCTGTTTTTTTTTTGTGTGTGTGGGTGGTTTTTTACTATAAAGCATGGATTAATGGCCCTGCTCCGGCAATATCATTCATTACTGATATTTCATGATCAGATGTTTGATTTTGAAATGAAAACGAGATCATCACAAGCTGCCGCTTGTGATGATGCATCTGGGATGGCATTATTGGATGATCATATTCACCGATAGCCTCGCTTTCTTGAGATTTCACTCTGCTCGGAACGGGAAAGTCATCATTTCTTTCTCGCTTTGTCCAACTCCTCTGCCAAGCCATGAGTCTGTTCTCATTACAGTTGCTGTGCAGAATGCGCCTGTTTGTTGACTTTTTTTAGTTTCGGCTTCGAAACTTGTGCTGATAGAACCTTTGGCTTCCCAGCCAAGCCGTTGCACTGTGATGTAATGTCAACTAGTGGCCCATCAGTGTGTGTCTCGAAATCATTCTTTCCTTCCTGTTACTCTCTTAACAGGTTGCCGAGCCACAATTTCACCTGTAACGACTGTTAGGCAGTGTGTTGGTGAGTGTGTTTTTTCTAACATCTATTTCTTGTTTGCATTCTATTTCTGTTGTGTCTTACTCATTGTACAATAACTTGTGATAACCAAATGAATCTAGCTGACAATGGGCCAAAGAATTGTCTGTTGGATTCATTTATTTGCCTAACAAAGAAATCGTTGAACAAAAAGTATTTCCTTTGTAAGTAATGATGTACGATGTGCAGTTAAACTGTCAATGAGCGCAGCAATATGCTATTTTGCAAAGACTTTTTTGGACCATTCTTTTTCAGGCATGGCATCTGTTAAGTTATTGTTCGTACACTCAATAGAGAGTAAAAGAAAGCAAAGGATGTGTTCTACAATAGCTTATGCTCTCATGACGCCGAATTTATGGGTTATTTGTTTCATTTTTCAGCTCCTTCAATAAAAGTAGTTAGTTATAGTTGTGTGTAATCTACTTGGTATCCTCGTTTCCATGAGGGATTTAATTTTGTATGGCTAGACAGAATTATAGCTACTTTGTGCTGTTACGAAAAATCATCCTACTCTGTCAACAGCTGTCGCTGTAAATGCAATAATTCTATTACTCGTTCAGTGAAGGGAGTCATCTGTTTATTGTCTTTTATTATTATTATTTTTTTATCTTCGAGAGCAATTGTTCCTCACTGCCCTGCTCGGGGGGGGGGGGGGGGGAAGCGGAAGTTTTAAGGAAGCTTGTAGATGTTGCTTGTCGACTGCAGCATAGGAAATACATGTACACATGTACTTTATTTCCTCCTTTAATGCAAAATTCTATGAAAGTAAGAATAGTACCTGTGCCAATTGCTTTTTTTTTTTAGCAGATGTATACCGTATTTACTCGCATAATATAGGCGCACCCCTAGTTTGGTTGCGGAAAATTCGATTTTTTTTTTAATTCCGCGCATAATAGGCGCACCCCGAACTTGGCCGTGATCAGAAACGATTCTACCCCCCAGCGGTACAGTTGGAACGCGGTCCCCGTACCCTGAAGAAAAAAAGAAGGCAAATCGACGAGCAAATAAAAAAAAATCGAAGTGCAACGATCTAACCAACGTGTTTGTTGAAATAAAACTTGAAAAAAAAAAAAGCGTCCATGAGCGAAGAAAAAAAACGGCTGTTCCATCAATTACTGATACCCCCCGAATCGCGGCGCTTTTTGGAGGTCACGTGTACAACGCCGGGGGCTCGATCGCCATCACCACCATCAGAGAAAAAGAAACGCCATTTTGCAAGCAGTGTGTGTATGTTGTGGTCGTGTATTGAACTTTGGTTCCACCATGGGGAAGTACGCGAGCTACACGGCTGGGTTTAAACTGAAGGCGGTGCAGTACACGCTGGAGCACAGCAACCGGGCTGCAAGCAGGCATTTCGGCGTTGGAGAAACCAGTATTCGATACTGGAGGGACCAAGAAAAAAAACTTAAGGCGACGAAGAAGACACGACGGGCTTTCCGCGGGATGAATGTGTGATCTCCGACTCGGACTCCGAATAGGGAAAAGGAGGAACAGCTACGACTTTTGTGTAAATAAATTTTACGTGTGTGTGTGCAGTTGACGGCTCTCGCTTGTTCATTAAAACATACGTAGGTATGTTTGTTTTATGCTAAATTAATTGGTAAACGATAAAGTCACCTTTTACTTGACAAGTGTGCAGATTTAAAGCGCGAGAACCGAGTTGAAAAAATTTTTGAAAATTTTACCCCGCGTAATTGGCGCGCCCCTAACTTCGAGCCGGATTTTCTGAAAAAAAAGTGCGCCTATTATGCGAGTAAATACGCTACTTCCTTTCAAACAAATCCCCAAAATTGGCCAAAAGCGACTGTAAATGTCATCAAAAGCGGCTGTAAATGTCATCATGATATAAATACCACATGTTAAATGTAATGTTTTATGAAAATCTAAACGCAGTAGAACCTTGTTGATATGTTTTTGGAAAATGCACAAAACGTGAACATACCATCCAGGAAAGCGTATGATTCGAATCCAGTAAGAATTCAGGCTATATTGTCTAGCTGGTATTGAGTTGCATTGATAAAAAAACGAAAAACATGGTGGGACTGATTTTCAGCTTGCTGGCAGCCGGAGGCCAGCTGACAAACTAGTGGTCACGTGTGTTGAAATCCTGAGAACTCCAATATTGCAAAATGAAACGCTGGGACAACCGCGTAAACATATAAAAAACGCGGCTACCATGGCGGCAAACGAACCTTCGTGTAGCGCGAGTGCCGGTTATTTTTGCATTACCGCTTGGAGATGTCTGCTAGGTTTGCCTATGTGTGAAACTGATATTCTCGAGCATACCTATTTGGGATGCGATCATGTACATTTGCAAAAACACTGGCAACTCACCCCATCTGCTAAGAAAACTGCCATGCTGCTAACGGCTCAACAAGCTCAACTTTGTGCAGTGCATGTAATAATCGTGATACAGCACAACGTGGAATCTCTAGATCTGAAGCGACGGCGTTCCCAAAAGTGACAGTTGCTTGCGGCTGTCGCTTGCTACATTGCCACACACACACTTCTCAGTTTGCTTTCCGTCTTCACTTGAGGCATGCGGTAGTACATTCACCTCCAGTTTGTTGACCAATGTGGGGGAATGCCTTCATGACAATGTGAGGTTGGCAGGGGCATTGGCAGAGGGGGTGATGAGTAATTCAGAGAAGGCGTGGAGGGGACAATTAAAACAGACAAGGCACAGAGGGTAGAAATAGGGCACTGCGAAAAAGCCTCAGTTGGCACGTGGCTGCAGTATGCCACTTCACTTCACGCTTTGCTAGTACAAAAGAGGGCCCTTCATGCCTGCCTGTATGTCATTTTCTGGCTTCACAGCATGTCATACGACCGTAGCTTCCCATGGAGCTGAACTTAGTCAAACAATTGTACTTTTCCTGCAACATTTTAATCATAACTTATTACGCAAAGCTCTAGTATTTGGTTATTTTCAGTTTTTGCGATTGGGAGCATAGAAGCTGGGAGGTACTACATTGTACTACACGAGGTACTACATTGTGTTGTTCTCAATCGCTCTTGCAACGGGTCTGCTGCTGTTTATTTTCCTGGATGCGGAGGGTGCGATCAGGGATGTGCATAGGTACATTTGCTGCCGTAGTTGCTGCCGTAGAGGTGTAGTTGCCGTAAGGCAAACATTCATCATTCATACATTTGCAATATATCAGGTACGTTATGTTGCAGATGCATTAAGCGCATCTCTAGATAATCATTGACAACCTAAGCCATTGATTCCTACTCAGTTTTTTTTTTCTGTGCTTTCTTTTTATTCTTTCTTTCCTTCCTTCTTTCACTAGTGACTTCTCACTTGACCTCCTCGTTTTGGTTTCAGGGAGTCGAAGGGTCCTAGATGTGATGGATGTGACTACGCAGAAGGACATTGAGATGACCATGAAGGATTGGTGTCGCTACTTCGAGAACCCAAACAGGGACAAGCTGCTCAATGTTATCAGCCTCGAGTTCAGCCACACCAAGCTAGAAAACTACGTAGAGTCCCCCAGTCTGGTGAGCAGACTTTATGTTGGTCTTTAGAGCTTCTGTCAATGTGCTGAGACGTTATAGTGTTTGTTGTACACTCAAACCTCAATATAAGTTTCATCTTACAAGGAAATATGTTTGTTAGATTCAAAAATTTGTTTAAAGGTTATTTCCAACATTATTTATTCAAGGCTCTTTTTCATTTGCTTTGTTATAACCAATCTTTTCTTACCTCCTTGTTTGTTAATAAGGTTTGAGTGTATATGTCATGATTTGATTGCATCTGATTTTTTTTTTTTGTACACATAGATACGAGAGAAAAGCTGCATTGTTTCTGATTCTTTCGTTTTAACTGGCTAAGAAGCTTCTCTATTTTGTTTGTTGTGACTTCACGATGTAAATATTTGGATAAGGCGTCAAAGAGGAAACAACTTTGTAATGCTTTTTCGTAATGGGGTTGGGCATGAATCTGTGTACGGGATGTGGTGACCTTCTGAATTTCGTTGGCCAGTGCACAAAAGCACTTCCCGATTGCAGTGTTGTCAGTGTGCGACTCGCTTGTGATCGATATGAAGCAGAAAGCGAGGCTGCTGCTACTTAACGTGGCCATCGGCATTTATGTTCACGAACTTCCCGAACCTCACTGACGGCGTTTAGCTATACAATAAAGTTAGCTCAATGGTTGAATATGCTTTGGCTAAAAAGGCCACAGGCTGGTGTTTCACTTACGCTTGACTAGAATGTATACGTGGCAAACAAAATCGGCACTCTTCGAGCTCTGCACGGCGCTAGTGTCTTGTCATTTATGGGCTGAATATTTCATCTTTAGCTCAACAGGCAATTTCGATGCCAAGGCGAGATTGACAGAACATTGCATGAAATGAGTGCCGCAGATGCTGAAAATTGATAGCAGTGAGCAGATTACGGAACGAAAGGTGCATTCCATGACTATGTAATCCGGTAAATTGAATATTTATGTATACGAGGCAATCATGGTTGTACAGGTCTGCTAAGTAGTGAATTGAAACAGAGAGGTGATGTCTTGGTCATTGGTTATAACAAAGTAAATTAAGAATTGTCTTGCAAAAGTATACCTTTATAAGTATACGAGTATACCTTAATAAGAAACTTTCGTTTGTAATGAAATTAATTTTGTGTAAAATGTAACATTGTTATATAATGAGGTTTGTAAATAGTCGAGCATAATAGCAGGGGATTGGTGCCTTCGTTTTCTCATTGATAATTATCAGCAGAGCCCGTTGAAGTTGCCTTTTTGAGTAGTTTCTTGTGGCTTGGTAGCACATCGAGATTAACAGACAGGCATTCACAAGGTTACATTTCTTCCTCTTTCTCTCCTCAATTGTAATTGGGTTGGAAATTAAGCCGCAAGTTTTTCTGCTGCAGGTTCGACAAGTAGACTGGGTCGACGTCGTGTGGCCACGACACCTGAAAGAAAGTCAGACCGAAGGGACCAACGCCATTGAGGACATGAAGTACCCCAAGGTTCAAAAGTGTGTCTCTTTTGTTCACGCGAATCATCTAGTGCAGCTTCTGCAGCAAAAAGCTACGAGTGATAATGAGGACAAAAAAAAAAAAAAGAAAAATCCTGACTGTAATGCATCGCGGGTTTGTAATATGTAACGGCTCTGTATTGAGTGCATTGTAATGTTGCCAAGCCTCAAAACGCGTTTTTTTTTTTAACACTGGCCATCCAAGTTCATTTTTGTTCCTCATGTCTAGTTTATTCATCTAAACCCTATTGCTACATTAACTTTAAAGGCTGTGAGCTTTTAGCATTATGGCCTTTCTCGAGTATCTTCATAAGCTTGTTATTTAACATACCAACAATTTTATTACTATTTTATTGGCGTGCCTTGCATTTTTATACAGAAGAGGCAGATCTACTCAGCACTATGCGCAGGTTTTGCTCTTTGCACGGCCTCTCTGGTTTTCCGCAGCAGCTGTGCTTTGAGGAGGCACAGCTGCTCGCTCTGACATTTGCTTCGGGCAGTACGCAGGCGTTCGAAAAAGCTTGTTGACTTTTGAATTCTTTGTACTTCCGCTGCCTCCCTTTCTCTAGTGCTTTGTGGTCTATTTTGGGATTCTTCCGATGTCACTCACTCGTGCTTTTTAAATATTCAGTCGTTATTCCCTGTTTAGTGACTCATTGGCTCTTTGTAAAACCGTCGGAGAGAAAAAAAAAATTGTGTGGCTTTGGCCTTGTAGGCCGATTGTGTTTTTATGCTGCAGTTTCTTCAGATTGCCGTCAAACTGCCCTCGCATCAAAGAGCTCAAATAACTATTCGTAGTTTTTCAGTCCCCTTATTCTTTATTTTTGCGATGGAATGTTTGTTTTTTCTGTTGTACTACAACGCTGGGATTCAGCTCTGCTTTGTATTACCCTGGGCTAATGAATGCATGTCTGGTTTAGTTTTGCACCACACTTGGCCTTGCCTTGATCGCAGGTCTTGCTTTCGAGTAATCTGTCTAACGACGCCTTCATGTACATGTTTTGTCTTAAAGTAACATCGTACTTCTGCATAATTAACCTGAGGCCCGACTTCGGCACATTTGTGCTGTTGTTTTGAGTGTTTGTCCTGTATGTTGATCTGACATGCGTGTAGTGTTCCTCTTGCTGCAACGCATTACGCCAGTGACATTCTTAATATGTTTATGTTGGTTTAACAGGACGTCTGCGGGGTAAAAAATTAATATTTAACGGGGTCATAAAGTCTTGCACTTTTGCAAGAAAATGTAATATAGCCTCTATGCTTCTGAGGCAGTTGACATGGAAATGTAATCAATGGCTGCATTTTCAAGTTTGCATACCTCGCCTTGAAGCACTTGAGCTCTAGGTTCTTTCTCATAATACTGCCTCAAGGAGTAGGCTTTTGGCACGCGAAAAAAATAGGTTCGCGTGTATCTAGTTGCAGCGAAGCTCTGGCAAAAGCATCGTAGTGACAAGCAATTTTTTCTATGGCTACAATGACCGCAGAGGTCACGCTGGGGAAACCAATCGGAATTCCCCGCGTAATATTTCGCCCAAATCTATGGCAATATTTCGTTTCTCTAAAACTGCCTTCTGTGTTTGCTGAGCTGTGCGTTTAGACACACTCACCAGCAGAATCTCTGTGCACTGACTGCGTTAACAACTAAAAATGATTGTTTTAATGGTATCGTTTGGCAGCATGATGGATGGTGGACTCCAGAGCATGAATAAGATGCAATGTTTTCACCCCCAGTTTCCGAGATCACTGAACTTGAAAAATAACATCTACGAAAACATAGCCTTTAAAGGTGCAGACTGGTCTTGGGGACCAAAAACTGACAAAAAAATTAATTTTTAAAATTGACATACTTGGTTTCTGCAAGTATTTTTCTATCTTTCTGCAAATTATCACACACCAGGAAGTGGTAATTTTTTTGTAATGTAGTTCTAACTGTCCAGATTCTTGGTGCCAGATTCTTGGTGCTGTTAACATGCAGAACCTGCAAAAAAAGGGGGGGGGGGGAACCAACTTCGAGGCTTCTTTATAATTTGCCAGTACCTGTGTTAGAAGTTCTACTACGAATTTATAAGCACCTTATGAGGATTGCGAAACATGTGCACCATGATTGTTGCTTTTTTAGGAAGCTGTGTGTTCCATTTTTCTCAAAAAAGTAAATCTTTGACTGTTCAATTTTGAGGCCTCAATATCTCTGCAGCTAGGGCAGGTAAAGCAATAATTTTTTTTGCAATGGAAACCTGTATGTGTGTAGAATGCAAGTATGGGAGCAGAATTTAGAGCACAAGCCTTTTTAATTAATTACTCATCAAAATTGTAACACAATACCAACTGCTTTTGAAAATGGATAGTTCGTTTTTGCTGTAAAATAACCAAGAAAGGCATAAAGCCAAAAAACTCTTGCGCACTTTGTCTATAGTCATTAGTCTATGTTGGTGTATTTTAAACATCACTTTTAATTTAGCACTTTTTTTTCTATGGCGGCCTTAAACAATACGGGGTGAATTTAAGTTATCTCAGGAACAAGATGAGTTACAGGAAAACTAATTAAATATTTGAAATCGGCAGAAAAAAACTGCATAATCCTGTGCAGTTTGGTCAAGATCACTGAAGAAAAAAAAAAATGTCTAAGACCAGTCCTTCCCCCTTAAGATAAATTGCTGCGGGTTGTTGCCGCCATACTTCTTTGTCAGGTGGTGAGAATCGAGGCGAAGCACCATTCTAGTGGCAAGTAGCCTTGTTGCTGCGGCTCTTGCGATAGGGGTTGGGGGAACCCCATTTAAGGTATGACATGGAAAACAAAATTATTTAAAATTAGTTTCTTACTTGTCTTGTCTTAATTGAAAAAAAAATTATCTAGGGACTTCAGTTGATTCGCATCTAACGCATTTGTTTTAGTAGTTGTTAATTTTGTGCATTCCATGTGTTGACTTGGGTACAGAGGAAGGGTCTATATTGGGTACGCTTCCCACTAGTCTTAAACGTAGGCATTGAGGTAACAATGATTACTGATGCCGGAAAACATTTTGCCACTATAGTAAGCATGTAATCTCGAGCAAGCGCCCCCTTTCCAAATTTCATCTACATCGCCTTCTCTCCTTCCACTATTTTCACTGTTTCATTCACTCTTTTTGCTCACCAAATGAGTGTGAACGAAAATGGTGAATGCATGTGTATTGAATAAAGCATTGCATTCGAACATCCGCTGCCTTGTTGAATTTCAATCCGTGATCGAGCAAGGTCCTTTCTTTGAATCTTGTCTGTTTTTCACTGTAGGAGGGGGGGAGGTGCTCTTGCCCAAGATTTTACAGTAGTAGTTATTACTACATAATTTTTTTTGGCGGAAGGAACTTGGGTGTTTTTTGATGATTTGCGCGCACATTCGCTTTTGTAAAAAGTTTTCCCGTACTGTTGTGTCATTTTCACAGATATTGCCTAATGAGTGTAAAGGGCTGCTACACGGATTTCCACATCGACTTTGGGGGCACGTCGGTCTGGTATCATCTGCTTCGTGGCCAGAAGGTGGGCACATAAGTATTCAGCACTGTTGTTATACCACAGTCAGTCTTTCCTTACAATGCAGATTAGGCACCAATTTTGTTTGTTTTTCTATTGCACACAGCGTGATTGTATTGACGCCAGCTAATCTGCTATTTCTAATGTTCAATAACCTTTACTGTACCACTGGCAGGTAGTCACGAGCACTTCAGTGGGAATGGATGACTACATTTGTCAGTTTTGTTGTAGCTCCTGTTGGTTGTAATGGATCGCCTCTCTGTAGGCTCTCTTTATTTGGGGGCTCAATTCGAGTGCTTTCATGCACAGGAAATCTGCTTAGCCAACTTGTTTGCTACATTTCTGGAAAACTTTGCTCAAGATTTGTAAGCACGCGATGCATCAAAATGGTCGTCACCCGTGCAACCCACAATGGTCTGCTTTCCTGAGATCAGCATGTAGTTGCAGGTCTGAATCGGAAGATTAATGAAATTCACCTTTGGAATGTTGTCTGTTTTTCTGGAATGTTGAACCTCCTTAGCCTTTAACAGTAATCGGTTCACGTTGCCTGGCCCACTTAATAATGCCTTTATGTCCCTCGCAAGGTGTTGTTTCGTCAATGCATTCTTGGCAGCTAAAGAAAAAAAAAAAAAACATGGTGACAATATATATATATAGCTCAAAGTTTGTTTAGCGCCCCGCCGCGGTGGTCCACTGGCTAAGGTACTCGGCTGCTGACCCGCAGGTCGTGGGATCGAATCCCGGCTGTGGCGGCTGCATTTCCGATGAAGGCGGAAATGTTGTAGGCCCGTGTGCTCAGAGTTGGGTGCACGTTAAAAAACCCCAAGTGGTCGAAATTTCCGAAGCCCTCCACTACGGAGTCTTTCATAATGACATGGTGGTTTTGGGACGCTAAAGCCCACATATCTATCAGAGTTAGTTTGGCACCGAGATGTGTGGTTTGTTTTGTGCAGCGTTGTCGGCATTGCACATTATTTAAAAAGTTGCTGCACACTATCCAATTTTTTGCAAAGATTTAAATTGTGAATGTGTGCGTGCATGCTTAGGAGGTCTATGTGTGTTTAGGACTTCAATTATAGCAAGAAGCTAGTTTTTGCAAGTAGTCGGCCTTGATGACGAAATGCACATATACTCATAATAAAACATCAATCTTTGCAATCTTCCGAGTATCACATCATTAGGCAAAAAGTTTGAAACACCAAGGTTACAGATGAACTGCAACTTTTGGTATGGAGCGCTTGTTTTAGGCCTTTGAAGAATGTCACTTCAGTGGGAACGAGTGTCAGAATTGGCTTTGAAACCCTGTTCATTGAGTTTTTTTTTTCTTTCGCTCTCTTCTCACACTTTTCTTGCAACGTGTCCTGTCGTGCATACACAGACCAAGGAACAGCTTTGGATATTGTTGCTTTTCAAAGGTTAGAAGCAGGCTGTGTTCTCCTTGCCACATCGGCCAGGCAGTATTTGTCTATTGTCAACTTATAGATGGACAATCCATCATGGCGTGACATTCTTGTTGATGGTATGGGCATGAAGCCAGCCCCTTTATTCTATCTCTACACTACATTATCTTAAATTTCTCTCTTTTAGCATGGAACTTACGGTGGTCCGTTTCCTACGATGGCTGCTAGAGTTCAGTTTGCCTTTTTTTACTTGCTGCAGCCACTTTCTCGTTCTCGAAAGAAAAGAATCCCTCTCTTTGAAACTTTTATTGCTTTCAAAATGCTTAACATTTGGCGATGAATGTAGGTCTGTTCTGCTGTTCGAACAACTGTTGCTAAATATTGGTCTCCCGTTGTAGTACGTAGCTGCCAACAGCTTGTGAGATAAGGGGCTTTTGCTTTGAACTCTAGTTGTAAAGAGCAGTTTTAATGAACAATTATACTTATGAGGCTCTATCAGGAGCAATACTAATTTCGCTGCTGTGTTAATTGTGCATTCTAAGTCAGTTTTAATGCATTGGGTGTTTTTTGCTTCAAGAGTGCCATAAATTATTTTAGAGCGCAAGTGCCAATGCTAGTTTTAATATAGTGCATATATAAGGAAATGGACATGGGCCGGGCATGTAGCGCGTAAACAGGATAACCGATGGTCATTAAGGGTAACTAACTGGATTCCCAGAGAAGGGAAGTGGGTTAGGGGGAGACAGAAGGCTAGGTGGGCAGATGAGATTAAGAAGTTTGCGGGTATAAATTGGCAGCAGCAAGCACAGGACCGGGTTAACTGGCGGAACATGGGAGAGGCCTTTGTCCTGCAGTGGACGTAGTCAGGCTGATGATGATGATATATAAGTTTTAGTTTATTTAGTTTATTAGTTGTCGCTATAGCATTCAGAGAAAGGGCATAGTGATTGGCTTATTAGTTGTCGCTATAGCATTCAGAGAAAGGGCACAGTGATTGGCTAGATCTGTAACAAATTGTTGTTAATGCATGTCCAATTGGCACACAATTATATGGCTCATTAATTATTTATTCACGATTATATGGTATGAGCACATTGACAGAAAAGTCCAATTAAAATTGTTTTGTTTTGTTTGTCAGTGCATTCCAACTCTTCGATATTTTTTTGTTTAAAAGCACTTTCATTGCTCACCCAATCAACTGAATTCGTATCATGCGATCCTCTGGCAGGGCTTCAAAAAAATTTTGCTGTATTAGTACGTTTAAGGGGGGACACGGGTTTTAAAAGCCGAAAAATCGTCAAAAAGTTGATTTTTTGGAAATGGCAGTTTTGCTATTTCCATCCAATATTCTACCATTTCGCCAAGTTTTATGCAGTTTGAAACGATATCTTAGCCGTAATATCAATTTTAGCACCAGTGCCAGCTAAATATGAGCCAAGAATTTGGTAAATAAAGCGCCTTTTCCGTGACACGCGACGGCCGTCATATTTGTCCGACAGCCGCGAATCATATATCGTTTGAAAGCGCAGCCTCTCGTCTTGATTTTCGCGCCATTTTCGGCTCCGAGCGCGCGTTGGCTGTGAAGATATCCCGATTCAAAAAGAAGTCCCAACACGCGCAGTAATTGGCCAGTTACGGCACGTGACCCGCAGCGGGTCACGCCATTGGCCTGACAGGCATCGTCTGCATCACTCCGCGGCGACTGTGCGCACACCGTACGCGTCAACTGGTTTTCGCACGTGAGCAACGATGTCGACGCCGTCGCCGAAGTTCGCTACGAAGTACAAATTCGGAACAAAAAGGAAGAGGAAGACTCCGTACAACTTCCAGAAATGCGCTGCTGTGCCACCACCAGTTCCTGACCATGCGGAGAACGGCGTGCTTCCCGAGTCGAGCGGCGCCGATGCGGGCGTGTTAGGCCTAGTCCCCCAAAGCGCTCTTGACAACCGCCGCGGGTCTTCGTCGTCGTTTCGGCACGACACTGCAATGTTGCAGCCAGAAGATTTGCGGCGTATAGAGAGTGAAGCTCAAGAAAAACTTAATGTACTTGCTTCAACTCCTGCTACTGCCCGAAAATCTGACTTTTTGGATCGTGATGACGCTGCCACACAAGCTAGCAACGATCTCGCTACAAGTTTTTTCATCGCTAGTTACGACTCGATGAACGCGCTGCTGGCGTCTACCAGTTGCAAGTGTACAATTTGTGGTGGTAACCTCACGGTGCGAAAAGGTGAGCGGGATTTTGGCCTTGCTGTGAAGTTTGTTGCCGAATGTGCGATCTGCGGCGATAATGTGCAGGGATGGAGCTCGCCGCGCGTGAGCGGCAAAGCAAAGCTCAGGCCTTTTGTCATAAACATCCTTGCGGAGCGTGCAATGCAGAGCACCGGAAACGGGCAAACCGCAATGAACGACATTTTTGCGGCGATGAACATTTCGGAGAGAGGAATGCACAATAAAACATGGCAGGGACACTTGAAAACGAAACTCGTCCCCGCGGCAACCGATGGGGCAGAAAAGTTGATGGGGACATGTGCACAATTAGTGCGCGATTTGTACCGTGACCTAAATATAAACAGCCCGGACAACATCGCTATATCGTTCGATGGCACATGGATGACGCGCGGCCACTCGTCTCATATCGGCGTCGGCACCGTAATTGAGCTCTACACAGGATTTGTGCTCGATTATGTAGTGCTCAGCAATTTCTGTGCTGGGTGCGCACGGGCACCAAAAGAAGTTGACCCTGCCTACCAGGCTTGGAAGGAGGCACACGCATGCCAGAAAAACACGGACAAAAAAGCTGGGGAGATGGAGGTGGAAGCGGCACTGATCCTCTTCCAAAGATCGCTGCAGAAGCATAAGCTGCGGTACACGACCTTGTTGTCGGATGGTGACAGCCGCGCTTACCTTGCTCTTCAAGATGCGAAAGTCTATGGATACATACCCGTGGACAAGGAAGATTGTGTTAACCACATTCACAAGAGAATGGGCACAGCACTGCGAAATCTAGTTTCCAAGCAGAAGTCCTCTGGTACAGAGAGTCTCGGTGGGAAAGGAAAGCTGACTGGTGAGCTTATCACCAAGCTCAGCAGCTACTATGGCTGGGCCTTGAAATCGCACAAAGGTGATGTCAAGGCCATGCATAAAGCAGTCATGGCCACATACTACCACATCACCTCAAACGATGTCACTTCTAACCACACTCTCTGTTTAGCTTCTATTGTTCTATGCTGTGTCTTCTTTCCATTGCTAGTTGAGTCATAGACTTCTGTCCTTTCCTTTCTCTTACGCTTAAAAATTGAGGCCTTGCAGAATGTACTCGGTGAAAAAGATAAATGTGGGCAAGTTTTAGCTCTAGAAATTTGATATCTTCTTGTCATTCCGGACTCTTTGAAAGGGCCATGACACGGTCACCCAAGAATTTGCCTTTTCAGCAAAAAAATGGAACTAGAAGGTTTATTGGGACTGTAAAAGAAGAATAGTGTTACAGTGTGAAACGAGCCCTAAAAGTTGTCTGCTGTAAACCCCACCCTGGCAACCCCCATTTTGCCGCGGCATTTGCGACGTCATGTTCTGTATGTAGCGAAGCAGTCTCCTTCTACAAAA